CTCTATCTTGCTGTAAAGAATGTTACCATTAGAACGAACTCTGTAGTAGAAGCACCTCAGTTCAAGCAAGTGAGGCTGAACTTTCAGAAAAATCTAATTCAATCATTCTGAAAAACTGGAGCACTTTTTCATCGCCTCCCAATTACCTTCCTCTTTTTTTCATCATTTATAGCAGGTCTTAACCCAGTGAGACAATGCGGCTTCCGAGGCGACTCCAACCTCAATCAAGGCTTTATGGGAGGGAAGACCTAATTCTTCCCCTGTCTTCCCTTTTCCTTTTACAAAATCATTCTTTTTTTTACACCCCACTTATCCATTGAAAAGGAACTATTGCTATTGCTAAAGAACTAAACTATTGCTGGACAAATGCCAAAAAGAATACGTAAAATTGGTTGTAAAAAGAGCGAATAATTAAAATCCATTGTCTTCCTTCAAAATTGTTAAAAACTCCTATGTTTACGCCACCATTGTTATCTTTTTTAAAGGGCTTATTCATAGCTATTCAACTGGTATCCTTGAGATAAGAGATTTCCTTGATCCGAGCCCAATGGATCGATTCTGCGACCTTCTGTAAGACAGACGATACCGGTGGTCACAATGCTACATCCCTGTCTCGCCCCAGTAGGCCGTTCACAGGCAGCCCTTCCCTCATTTCTTTAGACCACTGAATTTTAGTCGAATTCTATGTTCTGTAGAACCTTTGGATAGCTAAGAATTCCTCAAGACTCTTCCATACCTAACTTCGTTCGGCAGACCCCCAAATTCAACCTTGAAAACTTTGATTTCTTCATGAGGCCATCGAAACCGGTACATTCTTTCCTAGTTTCGGCCCTCTAATCCATCTTATGCGATACTCTCAGTCCTTCGTGATGAAAGTTACTGATAGTTTTTCATTAAATTCTAGGTTCTCTCATCTTGAAACCTCGGCATTTCTGTTGTTATTGAAATTCAAAAAGAAATTGTAAATTTCAAGTTACTGATAGTTTTATTACAAATGGAACTATTAAACTACCCTAATACCTTTTATGGGATACTTTTTGGAAGCAGTAGATTTGTACTGAATTGGTTGTAAGTAAACAACAACTTGCCCTTACTTAAATTGAGCTGCTTATTTCCTCGAGTAAATAGGCTGCAATATTCGAGTTCGAGTAGTGATACGATAGGAAAAAATGTTACTCTCATAATAAATACCGTTACTGTAAAATGGGGCCTTCCCCCATAAATACTGTTACTGTAAAATGGGACCTTCCCATTTTTTAAAGCTGGCCTTGAAATAGATGTATAAGTTCTGAAAGAAGGAAGTTTCCTAAAGGAACTGGCCTTCCTGATTGAACTTTCTTTGGACCCAGAAAAAAACCATAGGTAAGCAGCTGTTTTGATCCCGAAAAGAATTGATTATACTTAACTCTTGGGACAGTACAGAGTAAGTATAAAGTCATTTGGCAGCGATGCCTATTAAAAAGCAATAAAAAGTTACGACCCTATCCATTGAAACCAAGTGCAGTCACCCTAGAGGTAATACCCTCAATTAATCTTTGCAGTTTCACTTTCTCGATAGGATTTTTCTCGAAAAACCGTTCGCTACAGTTCGATGTGTCATCTTTCAGAGCGGCCCTTTTGTACCAGTATTATTTCTGCAAAACGGGGGGAGGGTCTCTACTATCTACTCATGCACGTGCGCATATGTTTTTCGACATTTAATAGCGTTTTCGGGGCTCGTACATTTCGATGTGGTGCGTGTGGTGATCTGTTGTGCAAAGGGCATTGTTCGGTACTGCTGTGCAAGCGTATTGCTTCAATGGTTCCCCCCAAAAAAGGGGGTTCCTGGAAAAAGGGACGAAGAAAAGATGACCACAGTACCAAGTGGTACGGTTACGCGACGCCCTATGTTTTCAGCGATGAATTTCTGGGAATTTACATGTCATGGGAAACATGAGACAATGTACTACTAGTAGTAAAGTTGTAATAGTGAACGTCTCTTCCAATTGTACTTTATTACTAGAGACTGAAGCATTGCTGATCATGACAGGTTCGAGTTGAGGCACGCGACATGGGTGTCCTGAAATACCTCTTGACGCCTCGGCCACCCAGCCAGCGCCTTAACTCAGTTTGCCCTCACATCAACGGAGGTGATCTGGGTGAACTCAGAGCACCACAGAGTATTTCCGGGCTCTTTTGTTAAGGCATAAGTCATTCGTACGGAGTCCTCTCGAGGGGCGTACTATGCTTTGTTCCGGTCTCAATTGAATATTTAAACTTGTACTCCTTTTAAGGGGTAGTCACTCAGACAAGAGTACACCGCACGAGTAGAGGTGAGTACTCGTGCTCGTGTTCAATGAAAGTTGTTTTCGAGGTTCTTGACAGAATATGCACTTAGAGTATAGAGAGCCAAACGTTCATATCAAGCACGAATAGCAGGGAAACTGAATAAATTACCGCTAGACGGGAGGGATAAAAGGGCGCGTCACTACGGACATGCCGTAACGCTTATGTCTGTGGTACTACAACTTCCACCACGTAATGAGTGCATATCTGGTCTGAGGATCATATTCGACCCTCTTTTCCTCCTTTTCCTCATTCACTTTTCACTTCCCAACTTCCTCAATTCAAGGGGTTCCTCTGAACCTTACTCTTACCCTTCTTTTGCTGTCTTTCCCTCAAAAAATGGAAATGTCAGTCCAGCTAGCTGCAAGTCAATACTATCCAATTCATATGTCCGGGACACAATGACACTTTAAGATTCGGTCCCGGCAGTCCATGATTTACTTATTGTAGATAGTAACAGTAGTATTCACTATAGTAGTAATTTTTATAAACAAGATAAAAAAGTTGGTAAAGTTACTCTCAAAACTGGTCAGCCACCCAGTTCATCCCATAATATATGTATAAATCTTCGTGGCATTTTGCCCGTCCCAAGAAAGGCCGCCCTTTTCTCCTGCAGATTTTTTTGCGACATTTTTTATAATCATTATGCTAGACTGCACGTCTCAAGTTCAGCCCCGCCTGTGGACTCTATAATTTGATGCGTCGTATTCAGAAGGCGAGACAAGCTCATAAATCAAAACTCAATTTCTCATGAACAAAGGTGTTAAAAAGGGAAGTTCATAAATGATTTGAACAAAAATCACATAGACTTCGTTTGAGTTACTTGACAGTACAAAAGTTAGTATTTATTAATTGTGACGTACCAGTGTCCAGTATTTTGCTCCTACTAAATTGGAGGGGAGGATGGAAGCTGTGCGTTTTGGATATCTGGCGTAATACTTATTCAGTCTAGGGGAGGGATGTAAATAATGAGGTTGTTAGTGGTCTTGGACTTTTGCCAACGGCAGCAACGACAGCTCTTGAGCGATGGACTCGCCTCCTATACTGCTTACTTATGCAGACCTTGCGTGCTACTAAATAGAATTAAACCAGTTATGACTGAAAGAATGTTTAAAAACAGGAATTTTAATAGATGAGGGCGTGCAGAATTAATTGTTGTGAATTCTACCTACGGAGGAGAACTTACAAATTACTACGATACTTCAACAGCCTTTAGACGACCCCTAGACAATTATTTGATGCTTCAAAAGAGAAGAATTGTGGCACAGACAAAGGGAAAGGCGTATTCCAACTGATGCTCAAGTGGAAAAAATCACTGGTTCAGGTGGAAAATCACTTGGCCCTTGTGAGGAGGAGAATCGCTCTTCATTTGGGAGGTGGTGATACCACATGCCATCGATAAGGTCGCCTAAATCTGGTGCTACCCTAACAAAGGCATCAAATATCAATGTGAGCCTGGTGCATTGGCGTCTGTTGCTCTTCATATGCTTCTGAAGAGGTCATCACCCTTTTTTCTGGCCGTTACCACTGCGGCAAAGTAATAATAAGATTTTTTTCTGGGCGAAATATTTTCATTACGACTGGTCATAGCAGAATGT